TCTAGCTGGACATCTATTAAATTTATGCCATGTTGATCCGCACCCACTACACCTCGCTGGCGCCCGTGTATGTGGTTCTAAAGCCCGTTCTCTAGGTATGGCGGGGGTAGGAGTAGGTGCTTCAACTACTTCCACCAGCTTAGTAAGCAATTGAGAAGCTTCTTAAACTAAGAGGCCCCCTTCGGCAGGTATCTGCCTCCGGGATCTGGTACGCTTTTGCTTCTACTTCTCGTTGGCAGCGCGTAATTCGCTCACTTATTTCTTAAGCAAAGCCGTAGATTGTATATTGATTTCGTAGGCTTTTAAAACCTAGTCTATCGCAGAATTTAACGGACTCGGGGGGCTCCTTGATCTCGTACGAAGTAATGCTTTAATTAAGGAAGCTTGCTTTTATAGTTGTATATAGTTAGTAGGCGTTTTTGGCTCCTAATCGCTACCCTAGCTAGATAGGGGGGTCGGGGTTCGAAGCCGAATATCGAGCTTTAAAATCACTCTCTCCGGTGAAAAAGGGACTAAACCGGCTGCCCCGAAGCTATTTTTAATAGTCTCCGATTTAAAAGCTTTAATTCGAGCGAGGGGGTATACTTCGAGGAAATCAAGTTTGTTAATATGATTTATCCCGACCCGCATTTTCGATTTAACTAGCCGACCGTACGACCGTTTTAAGACCGCAAAATAGCCGATATCGAGGGGTTATAAAAGGTGAGAGGAGTGCGGAGGCATATAGATTAGTATAACTCTATTTTCTTTATAGATTTCGTCGAATTTCCCGGTTAAATAACTTCCGTGGCCGTCGAGTATTAAAAGCCGATACCCCCCCTTCGTACGCGAAGAAGTGGTAGGGATAAAGAGCTTTTCGAGCCACCGAAGTCCAATTTTATCGGAGGTCTATCTATTCGGACTAACTTCGAAACGCTAATCGTCCGGGAGGCCGTTAAACCAGGATTCGAGGAAGACTTTGCCTTTAAAAATCACGCACGGAGGAAGCGCCCACCCGGAAGCATTCGTACACTCGACCACCGTTACCCACTCACGATTTCTAGGTTATAAAAGTGCTCGCCGACCGTAGAATTCACTCCTCGTAATAACCTTCGCGGTTGCCGTTAGTCCTATCGCGAAACCGGTCTCGTCGAAGTTATAAATATCGTCGGGGTCGATTCCATATTAAAGGATAGTTTTTTAAACAAGATTAAACCACTCCGTAATAATCTTCGGATCTTCGCATTTAGCACGCTCGTAATTATACCGTTTCGAGAATCGAGAGGAGAGGAGAGGACGCCTTTTAACGAACTTCGTAACCCAATTTTGGCCGACCGAAAGAACCGGGGTAGTTCCGCGCTTTTCAAGGAGAAGATCCGCCATTTCTCGTACGGTAGAGGGCCGGGGAGCTGATCCGCGAGAATCCATAGAGAGGATCCATTTTTCAAGAGATTCTTCTTCAATTTCTGTCAGTTTATAAGAGTTGGCGCGAGAAATCGCGCGGTTTTGGTGGCCGCGTAGTCGGTCTTGAAGGGTTGAACGTGGTATATTAAAACGGCGCGCCACCTCGCGAATTGAAGAGATTTCTTGATTTTTAAGAGCCTA